TAAAAGGCTTCTCCCAACTAACTATTTTCACGCTGCGACAAATAAAGTACATGAACAATATACCACAAATACAATAAGGAGAAACAAACATAACATAACGATGAATTCCATCCGAAATTGAAACCGTGGAACCAGTAGGTGAAGCCTTGACCTTTATCCTGTAGAGTAGTCGGATCTAAAAACTGTAGCCAAACCATTAAATTGAAACGAGATAAACAGAGTCAAAACCACTGATTAGCGAATGAAATGTACTGAGAAAACATTAATCCCCATCGTAAAGATTGACAGTATAATATCCCAGATAGTGAAAAAACCTGAATCCCCATCATACAATACTGACAATACCATTTCCCAGATAAACCCCAACTCCCCCAGATAACCAACCTAGCCCAGGAGACCAGGTGAACAACAAGTCAGTCAAACCAACAAACAACAAGAGGAGGGAGAAACTGGGAGGGAAATATTCGCCTCCTGTCATTAATAAAATTAAGATTATAGTTACACTAAAGCTAGGATAATCTACAATTTTATAGCATGACAGGAGGCTTCATATTTGCTGTTTTAACGCTTGGACAGCAAAGACCGAAGAAACACAATCCGCCGTACCAACCTAAACTCTGCGAAGATAGCTCCTCGTAACAGGCAGGAAAGTGTACAAAGTCTAGGAGAAAAAATGCCCGAAGTCGCCGTGTTACGGACTGAAGTGAACCAAAAAAAACTTTTTTCCCCCCGCCAATGCCAACCACAACCAAGCGGTACATGAAGGGCGACAAAAAGGGAAAAACCATTTAAACACGTCGAACACCGCCTAAAGGTGGGAGCGCTACCAAAGTAAGAATATGACCCTCGGATCCGACTAAGGCTGATAGACAACTAAGGTCCGAACCGCCGAACCCATCTGAAAGAAAAGAAAAAGGTATAATAATGGAAATAACTCCAGAATCAGTGAATGGGCAAAACCCGACAGAACCCACCGTAGGAGCGTGACAAAAATGCATGTACCCCCGGGGGAGATGAATACCTGTCCTCAGGAATCATAAAGGGAATTCTAAGCAGAGTGAGGCCCACCAACAGTCGTACGCGCTACCTAATTTAATTAATATGGCAGTCCTCGGTAATAAAGTGACCGAACAATACCCGAACCCTGTAAAAGCCGTAGCAAAATTAGGAGACCCGTACCAGACCCAACTACGTCAGGGTCGCCATGCAGACCAAATTCTCACAATCCCCGAGATGAAATGAGCAAGGGTCCAGGGAACCCAGGAACTAGGTTTGACTCTGCTGAAGTGGAGATCATAATTCCAAAGTACCTGCAGACCGAGGCACCTGTAGAAAGGTCCAAAGACCAAACAAACGGAGGAGACTCGTCTGCGTCTCCGTGTCAAACACTCCTGGAGGGAAGCGTCCATCACTGAGCAAACGGGTCCATCATCCAGCCGAACTGGTCGGGGCCTGATGGGTCCTCCTCTGTGGACTAAAGTCTTGATGCCGGGTACTCCCAGAGAAACCATTCCATACGTCTGAGAACTCATGCAGAGGAGAGCGTAGGAGGCACCCCCATGCATCCAATCCACCCTCCAGGACTCTACTCCTTGAGATGTAGAGGAGATCGATATTTCCTTGGTTGAAACGAAATCCAGGGACTCGAGCAAGGGAAAACGCAGGGAGCGTCTGACCTTTTGGTCTGGGAGGTCCCTCGCAGGGGGTCCGGCAAGCCTGTCCAGGTAGACCATACAGCAAGATCTCCTATATCGATGAAGAGTCGCGTCTGGATCCCAACGCGTGGAAAACGAGAAAGATCTCTTCAAATAGTTCTGGAATTCCTGAATGTCATCAATTCCTCCCAACCTGCCAACCAGGTTGTATTGTCGCCCAAATGACTGATGCACAAGATACCTATCTCACCAGGGAGAAAATAGAGGCCACCTTACTAGAACTGGGCCCCGCGGTCCCTAGAAGTTTCTTGAGGGCTGCGTTTAATTCAAAGTATCCAATGAATATACGTTCAATTGTAGACTCGTGCTGGGACTCCGAGGCGCTCAGATCCCTTTATCCCAAGCACCTCCAGTGAACCAAATTGCATCCCAGACTCGGGGCCCCATCTGGGATGTCATCCGAAAGTGGAGGCAAGTATGAAATTCCAGGTCAAGGGTCCAATCCCGTATAAAAGGTACGGGTTGGAGCTGAGATAAGCCTCCATCAAGTATTTGCATGTAAATAAGGACACATATTATACTTCCTCGGATGTTCTGCTGGCACAACTCACTCGTATAGCGGAAAACAATCGGCTTGCCAGTGCGGACTTAATAGTATAGGCACTGCAGTGGGCCGCACTCAGGATCTCCTGAATACTAGACAGGTGCTTAACCAGCAAAACTGCAGTGCCCCATCGGGGTCTAAGTCTGGGTTTGCGGCTACTTAGTTTGGGAGCCCTGCTGGGAATACCGCTCGAATTATCCTGCGGGCTTCTCAAGCCAGCAGTCTATGGGCCCAGAAATGCACCAATGGTGCTAGGTGATCGGGCAGAGACCATTCCAAAGATACCAGGTGAGCAATGGATCGAGGGTCGAACAGGAGTTCGTTTTAGGCGATCCACGAGATGACCTCTTCTTCCACGGTCGTCGGGGCCCCTGTAGTGGACTTTGTTCTACATCTCATGGTGCCACTAGGGGCCATCATCATAATCCACACCCCCATTGTCCTCTCCTTCCCAGGGGAACCGGTCCGCCCACCATTCAGCTAGGGCGGCCATTGTGGGGGGGGGAGTTACGGGGACCTTCACCCCTGCACCAGATAGGCAGTGTCATCTGGCCGTCAAGGCCGATCGTATCAGGGTTAGACACTTCTCCGGGGGGCTAATCTTTCAGGGCATCTGGTTCCGGGCCTTCACCCTACCCGTAGTGCTTATGCGCCCTTGCCTGCTCTCCACTCGGAGAGTGTGACTCCTTCAAGTCGTCTTTCTTTTTAAGAAGGTGGTCACTGCCGCGTCCGGTGGTCATAGCCTCCCCCGTGCCATACAGGCAGGGCAATCTGCCTGCTTGCAGAGGGGCTAGCCGCTCCTTTCCGGGAGCCTGGTTCAGGGCATTCACCCTTCCAGTAGCGCTCATGCGCACTTGCCTGCTCACCTCAAGGAGAGTCTGACTCATTCAAGTCACTGGTTCAGGGCCTTCACCCTTCCAGTAGCGCTTATGTGCCCTTGCCTGCTCTCCTCTTGAAGAGTCTGGCTCATTCAAGTCACCTGAAGTTTTAAAGGTGGGCCCTCTAGCGTTACGCTCCTGATAAGCTTAAGGGAGGACCCTGGCTGAAGCCTAATTTCACGGAGGTGGTCACTGCCATAGTAGTCATTGCCTGCGCTATTAACACGGATAAGGGTTCTCCTGTGCAACGGTCTCAGGCAAAGTGACCTCAAGGAGTGTAGAGGACAAGTGTCACCGGCAGGGTGATAGGGGCAGCACCCCATATAGTGACCGAGGCAAGTTTTGCAGCGCATGCAATGCACAAGTGTGAGTATGTGGCAGTAGGCTTGGCATGCAGACATTCTGGCACAGACAACACAGGCCAGATCAATGGGGCACAGACAAAGCAGGCCAATCAATGGGGCACAGGCAAAGCAGGCCAATCAGTAAGGCACAGACAAAGCCAGCCAAGTCCTGGGGCACAGACAAGTCAGGACCTTCAGAGATGTACAGGTGAGGAACTGTGCATTCCATTCTTCCGATAAAATGTACCTTTCGCTCTTCAGATAAGATGTACATAACACTTCTTCAGATTAATAGCACATAACACACTTCTGTATAACTGTAATTAACACTCTTCTGTGTAACTGTACGTAACCTTCTTCTGTGTAACTGTACATAACACTCTTCTGTGAAGCCTTACATAACATCCTTCTGTGTAACCATACCTAAAGCTCTTCTGTGTAACTGTACATAACATATACAATACTCTTCTGTGTACCCAACGCCGTACATGTAACTGTACATCTCTTCTGTAACTGTAAACCTTCTTCTGTGTAACTGTACAATAACGTACATAACATCTTCTGTGTAACACCTGTAACACTCTTCTGTGAACGTACATAACTCTTCTGTGTAAACATAACTGTGTAACCATACATTCTTCTAACTGTAACTGTGTACATAACACTCTTCTGTGTAACTGTAACACTCTTCTGTGTAACTGTACATAGCATTCTTCTGTGTAACTGTACGTACATAACACTCTTCTGTGTAACTGCACATATCCTTCTACTGTGTAACTGCACATAGTATATTACTGTGTAACTGTACATAGCGTTCTCCTGTGTAACTGTACATAACATTCTTCTGTGTAACTGTACATAGCGTTCTACTGTGTAACTGTACAAAGTATATTACTGTGTAACTGTACATAGCCTTCTACTGTGTAACTGTACATAGTATTCTACTGTGTGACTGTACATAGCATATTACTGTGTGACTGTACTTAGCATTCCATTGTGTAACTGTAGATAACGCACTTCAGTTAAATAGTGCCTGACACTCCGTAAATAGTGAACTTGCATATTGAGTACACGTGTAGTCAGGGAACTCACCAACTGAGTTACCTCACAAGAGGTGCTTCATTGGTCAATATGATAAAACAGTGTGCTGCAAGCAATCATCTGAACAAACAAAAAGGGTGGGATGAGTATAAGTGGTAACACTGCCAGCTGTGCCTGTTACCCTTAAGGGGTTATGCACAGCTCTATATAGCAAGCCTGTGATCTATACCATCCACTATGGTCCCCAGTAGCCTAACCTGCCAGCCACATGGGGCACAAAGCCAGGACAGCCTGAGGGTGCAATGCGCCCAAGTCATAGCTGATTCCCAGTCAAAGCTATAGCACATGTGCCTGCCATCGACGGAACTCATGCGGTAAGTCTGGAAACTGGCCGGCCCCGGCCCCACAGAACCATGCGGTTGCGGGGAAGTGGATGCTCTGGGCCGCCGCACTGCATGGGGAGGTAACCCCCCCACCCATGCCGCGGGAGCAGTTATACTGCGAGCAGAAGCGTGGGTCGGGTGGGAGGTGGAAGCAGAGGATCTCGTTCGGCGGACAGAGCCGGCGGGCGGGATCCAACACGTGGGATCCAACACGTGGGACCACCAGAGTCTTACTCCGGGGTCCCGGCGGTCGGCAACGGAAAGCGGTCGCAAACGGACGAAAAGTGAAGGGGGCAAAGCCACCCGGAAAAGGTAGAGGGAGGGAGGGAAAAGGGAAACCCCCCAAACCCAAGAAAAAAATGATCCCCAGACAGGGGGGCCCAAAACAGGAAAATGCAGAAAAGTCATAAGAGAAAATACATCCCTACAGCAACAAAGTAGGGACAGAAAAATACAATCTAAATAAATAAAACATAATGGCAGTAGGAAGGTAAACACATTCTAAACAAATAAATCCCTGCAGCCATAAGAAGGTAGATGCAGAAAAACAGAGTAAATAAATAAATCAATCAATCAATCCCTACAGCACTAAGCAGGTAGGTGAAGAAAATACAGTGTAGCTAAATAAATCAATCACTACAGCACTAGGTAGGTAGATGCAAAAATACCCTCTAAACAAATAAATCAATACAGTAATAAACATATAAATACAGTAAAATATCCACAACCACCCATATATAACAGGAGACAGTGGTACTCAGACCTGTACTGACTGCGGAGCAGCAAAGAAAGAGGAAGTAGTTAGTTGGGAGAAGCCTTTTATAGATTCCTGATTTTTTTTTTGTCTCTGGTGTTTTTATATCTATGTTAATGTGCTGCTGTGGAGTTCTAGTAGAGAGAGACTTAAGAAAATATGAAGCCTCCTGTCATGCTATAAAGTTGGTTTTGCACAGTGGCTTTAAGCTAAGACAAATAAATGGGTTTATACCAACATAAACATGCTTAAGTCATCAATGCTTAAATTCTTCTTTCTACAAGACTTGGGGATTTGTTTCACGATGACCTGAATTCTAGATC